AATTTGACCTAATGCTACTGACACTGTTTTGAGGACACAACGTGCCCTACAAGTCACAGCACAGCCTTGGTATGCAGAAAACTCCACATTCCTCCTAGGACTGAGCCAAACTCGCCTCTGCAGAGCCCAGGGTGTGCTGGAAGGTCTGGTGAGAGCTGGAAAGCTGGAAGATGGATGGAGCTCTCCGTGCTGTGTCAATGCAGCCCTCTCAGCTGTGCCACCACAGAGCTGGGATCTCCAGGGAGCTCTGTTCCCACTGCCTGGGCACTGTCCTGGAGCCAGCCCTGCAGTTTGCAGTGCTGCCTGTGTCCCTGCTGAGCACGTTGCTGTGGGCACAGCACCCATACCACCCCAGGGATGGGGTCCCCAGCCCAGAGCCCAGGACTCTTGTCTGCTTCTCAATGCTACAAGTGTCACACAGCTTTTCCCATGCCACTACAGGAAAGAAAGAATAATTAAAAAAACAATTTTGAGCTCATCAGAGGGGAATGAGTTGAGCTCTGTCTGTTTTTATGGAGCCCCACATGAGTTCCTGGCTCCTGGTGGCTATCAGCAACATCCCTTCCCAGAGGGAGGCTTTTTCCTTTCCCCCTGCAGTGAAGCAGCAACTCCTTCCTGAGCACCCAGCTGCTTCAAACACTCTTCCCACGCACTGAGCAGCACTGCAGAGCTCTGCCTTGGCCATGCAGGTGGACACCTTGGAGCTGGGCAGTCCCAGAGGGAGCTGCAGCATCCATGACAGGTTGGTGACATGACAGGGGACATCCCTCTTGCCTGATTTCCCAGGCCAGCAGCCACTCTGAGGAATCTGATGGGGGAAAGGGAGAAATCAATTTATGATTCAACCAAATTTTAAATTTTTCAATGTTTTGTTTTGTTTTATTGTTTTGGCTTAGTTTTTTTTTTCAAGTGTTTTACACGAAATCTTCCTTTGTCTCTTCTGCTCCTCTCCACTTTTTACTTTCATCCTGTGGTTAAAACTGGCCAGCAGGAGGTGGCAGATGATGCCTGGTGTCCTCTTTGGTGTCCCACATAATGCAAGCACACCTTGGCAGCCAGACCCTCACTCAGATATGTACTAAGTTGCCCAGGCAGAGGTGGCTGCCTGCCCTTGCACCAGGGACTGCTTTGTTGGCTCCAGAAGGGATACTGGCACCACCACCCCAGGGCAGTGCCTGGCAGGCATGCTGGAACCACAGAGCTTTGCTCTGCATCAGGCTTCAGTCCTCTCTCATGCAGGAATTTGGATTTTAGTCCATATCTAGCAGTTCTCTAGAACAGCAAACATAGATGTGTTTAAATTAACCAGACTCCAAGGGCATTGACTCTTCTGCATTGTTTTCTAATCAGCCAGTTGAGATACATTTTCTTGGAAGGTATGAATGAGGATAAGAGAAGATGACACTAAGGTGTGTAAATCCTCCCTCTCTATGACGGCAAAATAGTATGGGAGCAGTAAATCACATTTTAAGTTCTAGCACAAATATCTTCCCCAGCCTGCTAGAAAGTCAAAGGATAAACAATGAAGCCAAATTTGTATTGCTTATATGGCTATGGCCCATTTTGTCTCCTGCATTCTAATTGACTCCCTGGCCTCATCTGCTAGACTGATGTTTAGAAAATTTGGCCTCGTGGTGGTTATCTTTGTACCACATCACAGAGGAATGTCAGTCATCTCTTCTTTGACCTACTAAGCACTTGTCTCTAATATATTATTTACTTTTATCAGATTGAAAGAATGTAACCAATGAGCCTTTTGGATTTTCCTTACTTAGTTTCTCTGTTCCTTCCCTGTTAGGCTTTTGTGATTTCTTTTCACCGTCATATTCTGACATGCAATTCACACTCCACTCAAGCTGCAGTTGTGGGCTCTGAGTTACACAGTGCAAGTGCAGTTTGGTTTCAGATTTACTACACACTGCATCACCTTGTACAACCCACGGTGCTACAGCACTGCACTGAGATGGAAATAATCTCCCGCACAAGCCATGACTCGGGTCATTATGCGCAAACCAGTAATTGCACTGGTGTAATTTACTGAATCACAGCCTCCAATCTCTCCATGCCTTCAGCAGCACTGGTACGTGGGGATAATCCTCATCCCTGTGAGCAGCCTCTCCAAAGTCTAAGGACTGCTCCTGCTTCAGCTTGATACTTCCAAAGTATTTTTTATATCTTTGAGGAGCAGGTGGCATGAAATTAGTATGGATTTGCCTCATGCCCAGGAACTTTGGTGGGAGCACAGCTGCCAGACACTGGGCATTTTTGGAAAGTCCTGTTACAGATGACTGAATCAGGATTCTGCATGTTCTTGAGTCCAGTGGCAACAGAAACATTCAAATAGATGTGTAAAACCTGACCTTGAAAAACCAAGCATAAGAATATGTTGTAGAAAGATAGAAGTACAGTAATTATTCATATTTACCTGCTGTGTTGACTGTCAACAGCTGAGGAGCATCTCTGGATGGCTGGTGCACCTGACAGCATTTGAATACAATGGTCAATAGCCAAGATTTCTCAGTAAGATAAAAAGCAGGACTTGGCCATGGATATTGACCAGGACAAATGAGTGCATCCTGTTTGGTTCTGGTCACAAGCCAGCTGCTGAGTCACAGCCCATATCACATCCTTGAACTTTACTGACCCAAACTGTGGACAGATAAGCAGGATAAAGCCATGCAAGGCAAGTCGTGAAAGAACCATTACTTGGGATAAAGGTCTGTGCTCCATTTTTCTGGTTCACATAGAGGTCTTAAAGAAAATAGGGTGTGAAACTAGTGCAGGTATAGAGCTTCTGCTTCTTAGGAGGTGGAGCTGACCCTTGGTGAAGGCGAACCCAGGGTTCAATGTCATTTTACAAAAGGTGTAAGGTCTGGACCAAGATCTGACAGTGCTGATTGGTGTCACCCTGCCCATGTCTGCTGCAAGAATAGCGAGTTTCCAGACCCCTCCCATGTCCCCCCAGCAGCTGCACAGCCTCTGCCAGCAATCCTTTCCCATGGCCGCCACGTGTCGAGCAAACACACGGCAATGTTGACACAAGCAGCTGCCGGGCATGAGTGGCTCCTGCGCTGATCCAGAGGAGCGCGGTGCCAAGGACTCGCGGCTGTGCCAGCAGGCACCGCCAGCAGAGGCTGCACTCAGCTGAATCCACTTCTTTCTGGAGACACTCAAGAGTCTTGTTGTGCCTCAACACACCAATCCTAGGCGGGTTCCCAAAGAGGTGTAGGAAGTTGGCAGTCACATCCTGCCCCCAATCTCCTCCCTGCAGCCCTTCTCCTTTCACACATCCTCCACCACTGGATTTTCCCTGGGAGAGGCTACAGCACCCATGCTTCTTGGAATTGGGTGGCTCTTAATCCCAGGACAGAAAGCAAAGTGCACTAAGTTTAGGGAGACTTTTTGCTCTACCTCCAGGAAGATTTAACACACCAAGTCTGTTAGGCAAAGGCCTTCTCATGTTTTGGTTGAACCACTGCATATTTGAAATTGTTACTGGTATGGACAGCTAATTCCCTGCTTCCCAGCATCCCACTGGTGGCCCCCACATCTGCTCCCCTGGAGGGTCCACTCTCTGCAAGGGGGCCCTAGAGATGATGGAGAGCAGAAGAGGCAGCACTGAGTCGGGGGAAGAGACAAGAATATAATACATTTTGTGAAGGAAAACATGTAAAGACAACAGAGGAAAAAAATTAAAATAGCTGCCAGAAATAAAAATCCTTTCAGCAAAGGCATAAAGACAGATGGGAAGGCAAAGAGAAACAGTGAACAAAGAAAGAAATGCAGAGAAGTCAAGGAGAGGTTGGGGGAAGGCTGTGCAATGATTTGGCATCAGCTCCTTGCATTAGTTCCCTGAAAATTGTGTGAAGCGGGGGTAGAGAACTGTGGATTACTGGAGTGTAGCACCACAATATCGTGGGCTGGCCACTAAATTACCATTCAGAGAGTCTCTTGGCTTAGCCTTGCTGCTGCCGTGAGAAGGAGCAGGATGCAAGCTGAAAAACAGATCTATGGAAAATAGGGTTGAGGCTAGAAATTCCATTATATTCTTGGCACTTTGACATTTTTCCTCCCCTTTTGTGAAATCTCAAGGGAGCGCTGCCTACTCTTGCAATAATAATAATTTTTTAAAAAGGTAGCATATGAGTTGGCATGGTAACTTCATCTGCTAAGTAACTAACATGTAGGATTTGCTTCTTGATCTAGAATAATAATGTCAACAGCCCCCAGGAAGATGCCTCCTTGTGACTGACTGCCTATTGTCACCTGGATTTCATGCTTCACTCATGCTTGGTGACCTTGGTGAGACTCACTGTGGTGCAGGGACCGACCCGTGCTACTCTGACACCAAGACACACATTTGCTGGCTTCCTATGTTACACCCTTCAGGCCAGCAGTATTTGGACATGTCCATATGCTGGTTTACATTTGATCACTGTTATTCCTAGACTCTCCTGAAAGGTCAAAGTGTTTCAAATGTGCCCATGCTGGGACCATTGGGCTGCTGCTGAACATGGCAACTGGTAACTCCCAGTAACTCCTGCTTATGAGCCTTCCCTGCCCATGGGAAAAGGCCAGGATGTTCCAGTGTTCCTGCTGAGCCACTCTGGGCAGGACAGACACCCTCACAGGGATGCTGCCCAAGCAATTCTCCCTTTAGTGCCTCCAAATGGGGTATGTGCACTACTACCCTGGAGAGCTGAGGTGTGGAAAGCTCAGTGGAAGCAGCAGCAGCACAGGGAGCAGAAGTGGAAAATACTTCTTGTTGCCAGTTTCAAAAGATAAAGAAAAAAAAACCAAAAAAACCCCTGAAAAATCAAGAGAAACCAGCCTAATGCTTTATTTTGCTGATGTTTGTGGCTGTGGATTAGCTGTATGGTTGGAGTCCACATCCATGTGCCCCTCTGCTCCTCCACCCAGGGCAGGTTCTCCCAGATGAACACGGACAAAATGCTCAGTGCAAAGAAAAAGGGTTGCCTGTGAAGAGTGGGAGTGGTGAGACCCTGGACCAAAATAGAATTGCTTCTTTTCTTTCTGTATTTTTATGTCCCTGCAGATGGCTTTCCTTCTGGGCTGGTAGGGGGACTGTGACCATCCTGGTCCAGGAGCTGATGAGCTGCAGTTGTTCATCAGGGCCCAGGAATGAAAGGTAAGGGCCAGGCCATCTTCCAGAGAAAACTTTTCATTTTGTGGTATGGCTGCTCCTGGGAGCTGGCTTCTCTTCTCACTTCTTGTTTTAGATTCCTGCATCCTTCAGCTCTTCCTTTTCATGTGTCCCACGTAGTTTATTTTTGTCCCAGTGTACAGACACTGTCATACTGGTGAAAAGATGACTTGGATCAGGGTGGCTTGCTTTAAAGGACCACAAATCTGGCAATACCAGTCCTGGCCATAGGTCCATCCAGCCTAGCACTTCTGAAGGGCATCATAAATGGGTGCACAGAGAAAAGCAAGCAGAAAACAGATGCATCAGATACTCCTCTAGCCTCCAACCATTTTCAGCTCAGGGCTTCCTAAGCTAAACATGGTTTGCAGTGTGCATATAGCAACATTCTGTAGGTTCCTTTCCCAGGAACTTCTCCAGCTTCCTCCTGAAAGCATGCAGACTTTTAGTATGCAAAACATCAGCAGCAAGGGGTCCCATAAGGCCATCTGCTCTCTGAAGAGCAACTTGCTTTTGCTTGTTTAGAAGCTAGGCTTCACTATGAAGCGGGCTTCAATTTCTGCCCCTAATTCCTGTACTGGAAGAGACAGAGAATATTTCCTTTAATGTACAGGAGAAAATGGTTTCAAAAGACACCTATTAGTTACTGTGTGGCCTGAACAGTGAGCTATACTGTCCCAGTGACACTGATTTTGGTTCAGTGCAGCTAAGTAGCACCAAGTAGGTTTCATGACAGCCCTGTGTGCTCTCCACAGCCTCTGCTGGCTCCATCCTTGATGATAAATTAACACAACTGCAAAAAAGACAAGTTTTAGGGTATACAAACAGTTTCTGGGCCAGAGTTCTTCCAATATATCAGCTGTTACAGTATAAATGACATCTTCCTGCACTCCTTAGCTCACTTACAGCCTGGGTCTGCCACTGCCTTAGCACAGCTGAATGTTACCAACAGTGTGCTGGCTTTGTAGTCCCAAAGAGAGCATGGTGAGTGCAGAGATACCTGAATGAGTTTCAAACAAGTGAACTCTGTTCCTGTTAGCAGTGGCCAGCAGCTAGCCCCACCAGGCTGCAGTATCCTTGAGCCCCTGTGTTTCTGTGTGGAACAGCATCCAGTGCACCTGGGTTGGGGAGCTGCTTCCCCAGCCTGCCCCAGGGGATTCCACTGATGGAATTCCACTCCGCCCTTTCAGGGCTGGTCCAGACCCAGTGGGTCCTCATCTACACACCATCACTGAGGGTCTGCTGCAGGGTAATTCAGCCTCAGCCTCCTCTTGGGGAGGATGGCTTCATCCATGAGGACATGCGGTGTTTCCAAATGTGGGCTCATGCCTCTCTGCAGGCATCTTATAAATGTGAGGGATGTCTGGTTTAAAGATTTTTGTAACACAAAAAGCTATTTAAAACAGCTGAGTGCTAACCTCCTCAAAGGAAGATTTATAAATATTTGCATCCAGCTCCCAGTGGTACAATAAAAATATGTTGTACTTTAGGTAAATGCTTTATCTAGAGGAGTCCCAGTAAAATCAATGATCTTTTTGTTTGTTTGTTTGCTTTAAGTGAACAACAGTCTCTAAGGCCCTTTACTTCCTTCACTGATCAGTGATATAGAAAAATTCTTTAGTGCAATCTCTTCCCTATAGAGCTCTGTTTATTTTTTCTATCTGTGCTGGAGAAACTGGCTACCAAAAGCCAAAAGCAGATACCACATAAACATTTTACTTATTTTTTATGGTATCTAAAGAAAGTGTGAGGCACACAGGGTTTTCTGAGACTTGTTTCAGGATTTCCAGATGAGCTTTGTACATGCAGGATGATGAGGCTGTGTTTATACCTTGTGTGGGTGGCAAACCCTCTGGTACCTGACTCCTCCCCAGAGATGTCTGTGAGGTGGTCCTGTCCTGTGATCCCCCAGGGTCACCCTGATGGGAGCAGTGACACACACACAGCAGAGCAAGGCTCCCCAGCATCCCTGTGGGATGTGGTGAGCAGGAGTGGGGAATGGCCTTGGGCCACTGCTGACAGACTGGGTGATGGCATGGATTTGCTAACCTGGAGAAAAACGTGGGCTTGTGCGGAGGCCCAGGGGACTGTTACCAAAATGTGTCAACCCTGGAGGGGCAGAGGCAAAAGGCGTGAGACACTGCTGTAGAATAGAGTAAGAAAAGACCTCCCTCCCATGGGCCTTTTGCAGCCACATGTTGGTGCCTTTTGTGTACTGGTGTTTTGATAGTGTGTGGGCATTGATGTCACCCTTGTTCAGCCCCAATATACCATTCATGTACCCTTCCTAGAATGTTCCTCCTTCCCTTAACCCCCATAGGCTCTGTTTTGCCACATTGTTCCATCCCTGTTATCCCCTTGGTTCTCCCAACCCTTGTCCATTCCCTTGCACTACTTTCCCTTGTCCCTATTGGACCTCAACCCTCAGATCTGCCCTTCATTTAACCCAGTGCCCTGAGCCCAATCCTTGGTTCTCATCCCTGCACCTATTGGAGGCTGTGTTCAATAAACCAGTTGTTGGATTGCCAGAAGGGAACCCATCCCTTAGTCTTAAATCACCAGTATTTCCTGTGGTGTGCCCCGGGCCCTGAGAACGCTGGTTGCTCTCTGGGATCTCATTGCAGAATGTGCTGTAAACAGGCTTGGAACAGAGAGTGTCCTTTATGTCACTTTTGTGAGGATCACATTGTAATGCAAGGAAAACAGTCATGACTTGTTGGTATGGGGCCTCCTCCCGCTGCTGGTGCGCAATCCGTGCTCTGGCTGCCGTGCTGGGCTCGGTGTGTCACCGCAGGCACCACGCACTCTCCACTGGTGACTCAGGGATGCTGGGGGAGGCAAACAAAAGGAAGCTCGACTCTATTCCGTGCTCTTTTTCCTTACACAAGGCAGGAAAGAGGCTGCAGGCAACGAGGCTGTGCCCCACCACTGCCGAGGGAGGTGTCAGACCTTGGGGATGGAGACAGGCCTCTGATGGGGTGTTCTGGTAGGGACTGCTGCTCCACAGGTAACCTGTGAAACAGCTCTTCCCAGGGGCTTTACTTCTCATTTTGTCTGAGGAAGAAATCATCTTTCTCTTTGCATGGGCCATCTGTAAAAAGCCAGAGTGTAACTGGCAGTGGGTAGCAAAGAGCCCCACTGAAGAGGAGTCATTAAAGCCACATTATTTTTGGAAGGTGAGAAGTAATACAGAGCAGATTAAATCCCTTCACAGTATTTTTTTTTTTTGAGTGTCACTAAGAGCTCCTTAAGGTTATTAATTGGTGCTAATGATGATCAGCTGATGGTTTGCAGCTGAAATATGTGAGCCAACAAAACTCCCTAACTGGGGTGGCACTGCTGTTTTCTCCATAGCTGTGTGCAGTAATTATTAAAGCAAACCAACAGAGGCATCTCTCGTGGCTTTATTTTGTGCTTTGTGATAGTGTTAGAGTGAAGTGAGCTGTGATGTTCCTTCAGCCTTCTGGAGACCAGTGTGATTCTTCTCTGACCCTCTGTAAAGGCAGGAGGAGCCAGAGGGAAGGAGAACTGAAGCTAAATTTTGAGGTGGTGTGTGCATAAAGATGCTGAAAGCTCTGGTGTGAAAGGGCAGCTGGAACAGAGGACCTTGGGGTGAGAAAACAAGAGTTTCTATTTTTATTTGTGTTAGGGGTATGAGGATGCTGAAATGTCAGGTTCTAGACATTTTGGTGCCTGTTTATCCACATAAAAATGAATTTGCCGTAGAATTTTGCTTACTGCTGCCTATATACTTTGGAGTTTATTTCACAGTGACTACTTCTGCCTAAAGCCAAATGTTTTGCCAGAGATACTCAGAATGTTCTGTGAATGAGCCCAAGGAACAGATTTTCTGGCTGATAGAAACTGGCAAGTCTCCTCCAAAATCAGGCAATATTGGGAGACAATAATTTTGGACTGCTACTAAAAAGCTTACAAATCTGTAAACTATTGCACAAAGTTGTCTAGCAACATTATTTTGTGAAGTTATATAAGTTTGCAATAGAAAATGTTTTAAAAATTGTCTCTCTTTGCTCTCTTAATGCTATACCAGGAGATAGAAGTCTAACTAATATCAATGCTCCAATTCAGAGGGAAAAAGATAGGTGTTTTTAGGATTATATTTAACACTTTGCAGATAGATAAACTTAGGCCTTTTCTTTGGCCATATGAGCAGCTGAGACTCTTTTTATTACGGTATCATTAACAGTGAGTGTCATGAGACTGAACACAGGATTGAGGCATCTCAAAACCCAAAAGCTGTAACAAGGAGGCTCTAGCCAGAACCCAGAAAGTTCAGGCAGTGTGTGAGAGCCTTGCTGATACTGCAGGAGTCGTTTTGCTTGAGATCAGTTTGGTTCTGATGATCCTGCTGAGCTCCAGCCCACCCCCTCGACACATATCTCACCTGCCAGATGTAGGATGCAGAGCTTCTCCCTGCCAGGCAGTCCTACAATGGACAAATATTTTCTCAACATGTTCTTGTATAAAAGCATTGATGTCTTTGCTTTTATATTGCAGGGATGACACTAGGCTGGTTCTCACTTGGGGTTTGCCTGTAACAGGGTTTGTTCAGAGACCCTTTTGCCCAAGATTTTCTTCCCTCCCCAGCTGCCCATACAGCTGTGTGTGGACATGTGCACTGTAAGATCTGAGCAGTTTTTGTAGTGCCTGGCCACTGAACATCTGCAGCAGGCGTTCATGGAAAAAGGTATTTCACTGCTGTTGTCCAGATTTACCTTTCCTCTTAGCACTCTGACCTCTGCTTAGTGCACTACTAAAGAGCTGCAGCTTAGTGCTAGAATTCCACTATTGATAGTGGGGGAAAAAAATAACCCAAAAGTGCTATCTGCAGTGGATGAAGCTACCAGATTTAGGAAAACTGCTGCAAAGCTAAGTAAATGCATCAGAAAATCTCAAGAATCCCGTTTCTAGGAGGTCCTTTGAGGACAAACTGACTTTTTTTCCCCTCTGATTTTAAGATTTTG